TTCCGCCTCCCATTTCCACTCAGCCCATCCCCTGTCCTTCCCCCTCCCCATCCCCCTTCCCCCGTCCCCCGTCCTCCTTCCCTCCTTCAACTCCTCTGCTCCTCCCCTTCTTCCCCCTTCCTCCCAGATCATCGCGTTCATAGGCGATTCGATCTCGCGCAACTTCCAACAGTCCATCTCGTGCCTGATCGCGGCGCAAGTCGCGGTGGAGGACTGGACGGGCCACCTAGGCCCGGACTCGGTCATCGGGCTCAAGATCCCCGCGCACAACGTGCGCATCCTCGCCTTCATGACGCCCTTCCTCGTGCGCTACTCCAACGAACCCTGGGCCTTCGAGCTCTACGGGCTCAAACCCCCTACAAACCACCTGATCAAGGGCGGGAACGGCGCAGGGCAGTCGTATGTGATCTGGACGGACGTTCTGGATTCCGCGTGGACGGTGCTGTTTCGGCAGCTGGATGTGGTGGTGTTTATGTCGGGGCACTGGTTTCTGCAGGCGCAGGGCAACACGGACGTGCGCGCGCTGCAGTTTGTGACGAATAACAAGCCCGTGAATCTCAACGGCCAGGATGCGTACCGCGCTGTCATCAACAGGGTGAGTTTTGGTGGTGGTGGTGGTGGCTCTGGTGCTGGTGGTTTTTGAGGCGCCTTAAAAGTCGCTGCAGTTTGTGACGAACAACAAGCTGGTGAATCTCAACGGCCAGGTCGCATACCGGGCTGTCATCAACAGGATGAGTTGCGTGCTCCTAGTGCTGGTGGTGCTCGTGGGTTGATGCTGGTGGTTTGGTGCTGCTGCTGTTGCTGCTCTGTCTGCTTCTGTTGCTCGGGCGTTGTTGCTCTCGCTCATTCCCAACCCATACTGAATCCCTCTCTGTCCACCTCCTTTGATCCTCTCACCTCATCCTTCTTCCCCCTCTCCACCCGCCCTTCCCCTTGCATCAGGTAAAGAAGTTTCTGGGCGTAGAAGCCAAATTCAAGGGCATTCCCACGTGGCTCACGTACAGCCCGTCCCACTACCGGTCCTCCACCGATATATTCAGTCGACTCAAATATCCCTCCCATCACTTTCCCTCCTGCTCCCTTCCCCTCCATTTCATCAGGTAAAAAAGTTTCTGAATGTCGAGGCAAAGTTCAAGGGTATTCCCATGTGGCTCACCTACAGTCCGTCCCACTACCGCTCCTCCACCTACCCCCCTTCCTGCCCGGAGTCCAAGCCACTCTCCTCCGTCTCCCTCGACCAAGCAGCCACCCAATTCCGCAGCATAGAGCTGGAAATGCTTCAAAATACGCGGTTCAGTGTGCTCGACTTGACGTCCATGTCCGGGTTAAGGCCGGATGGGCACGTGCAGATGTACTATGGGCCGGTGAAGAACAGTAAGACAAAGTGGGACTGCTTGCACTGGTGCCTGCCAGGTGTTCCGGACGCTTGGAGCGATGTGCTGCAGCTGGTGCTGCAGTCACGGCTGCGGTGAGGACGGTTGAATGGGGACGGGAGATGAAGGAGGTGGGGAGATGAGGAGATGAGGAGATGTTGAGGAGATTACGAGGAGAGTATTGGGAGGTACGAGGTGGGATTGTCTGTGTGTGTGTGGAGAGACAACTCGGGCAGCCATGTCAAAATCAAGCAACGACATTTGGAGCTGGGGAAAGGGTGTTCCTATGAGACCGGATTGGGGCGGAGGGGTGGGATGACAGGTGATTGATCAGCTGCTGATGGTTGGTGATAACGCTTGTGGTACACAGTGGATGGATGGGTGATGAAGTGAAGCTGGAAAGGTGACAGAGGATCAGCTGATGTTGGCAAATACAAAACTGGTGGTGCGTTGATCGCATATTTTTTGAAGCGTGAACTATATGGCGAGCATTATTAATGCATCGCGCCGTGGCCCTAAAAGGGATTTGGTTTGTACGCCCTCGGGAGAGATCCACGCGTGTGAAAGCCTTGTTATGCCTGGCTAAGGGGACATGCCCAGACAAGCAAGGGCTCAAGCAAGGAGCATGGAGGCGAGGATAGCTGCACCTGTTATAGAAATAATGTTGAATCTCTCATTGGAACTTAACGATGAAGTTAGAGTGGTGTGTGTGGTTTTAGTAAAAGGATTGTATCGTGTAACCTCGTTACTATCATAGATATTTTTTTATTTTGTTCGTATGTTTGTACCTTCGAGTGGAGTATGTCCGTTGGATAAAGGATGGTTCTTTTTGACGAATCGTGTCAGTGAGGATATTTGTTTGCATCACACCACCACCCACAAACCGGATAACCACACAAGAAAGCGATAAACCTTTGCTACCGGGTCCCCCAAAGAGCACCGTCGACTTTGATTTTTGGATGATTGAACACAACATACAATGCATCCATCCACAGTCGTAACTGCACGGCCATTGAATTCACGCGGGGCATTGAACTAAAACCCTTCATGCACGTACCGTATCCCTTTCCATCAAGTGCAGTTTATCCCACCCGACTTTTGACAAAATTGGGGGAGTGGTATGTTTCCGTAAAAGTCGCTATATAGAGGATATGCTCGCTCGGGGTGGGAGCCTTTCTGTTGCCTTCAGGTGTTTTCTCTGGGGCCACTGTTGCCATAGAGCGGGGTCGACGTTTTCATGTGCAGAGAAACAGCCAAGCGTGTGAAGCAACAATGATGCAAGCAAGATGTGAGGCCACGTCATGGTGAGTGGTGCTCCACTGCGACGTGCCACGGCTGCTGATTTCTTGGGGCAGGCGTCGTTTGAGACTGTGACATGGTGTCGCATCGCATCGCATCGCGTCGCTCTGGTCTCCACTTCGATTCCACGACCCCCAGAGCATCGCTATTCCCGCATCGAAATGATCCGTGAGAAACGCTTGGCCGTCGATATGCGCAAGCGTATGCCGACTGTCGTCGCACATGCACGGGGCTTGTGTTGGTTACATCGCGTCGCACCACATTCCAGGAACCGCCGCTATTTCTGTAACACAGTCCACAGTTCAGTTTCGGAGCACAATAGTCTTGTTACACATCCATCCTCTGGGCCGCCCATATGTCCTCTACACTGGCGTGTTTTGGTTTTTCTTCACCCAGGGTGATGATGCTTCTAGAACGGTTCATTACGTGATTTTGAACCCAACCACTCGGTATTTCATCTCGTCAACTACTTGCAACTTAGTGCAGGCAGGGTGCGCAATTCCTCCGAGTGCGCAAATCCTTCGCACCCTGGGAACCCTAGCAATCCCCCCAGTGCTCTCCTCGCATTCCACCTGGCACTGTGCCGCGGGAAAGTCCCCCCAACCTCAGCCCCCCTGCCCCACCCTACTCCCCTAGCACTGAGCTGACCGACCAGCGTTCCTCGTACACTGTTACACACCCCCTTGCTGGATAGACTTGGTTGGAAACTCGAGCCAAACCCGATCTACCTCACCCTGACCAGTGTGAGAGGAGGGCAGGCGATTTGGCAACAGCATGCATCCGCCCCCCGCTCCAAGGCTTGCTTGCACAGAACCGGGACCTTGTTCCTGGGACCAAACCAGACAGATTGCTATCCAACGCGCGCCATAGCTCAGTGCGCCGCCAGAATGTTGACCTAGAATTTCAACCCTTCACCGAGCTCGATGAAAGTTTTGCTTCCAAACTCTGTTCCGTCGCGAAACGAGCAAGCTATCTTCAGAATGTAACACTCCGCCTATCAGTAATCACTTGTATCTATTCTGCGGGTCGACCTTAGTGTCCTTAGACTGCTCCCATCCTCAGTCAGCAATGGTTTAGACTAGTCCGCCTCGGTATTGCCTCGTGAGCCTAGCTTGCGCTTCAATATCCAGCGCGCCAGTCCGCGGAGAGCTCGTTCGCAGCGGAGCGCTGCAACGAATCGCACATTATTACCTCGCGATTGCCAAGAATCGTCTAGTTGATAGAGTCAGAGTGTCCTGCTTTTCGGGTTCTTACGCCGTCTTTTCTTGTCATTTCCGTCCTTCCGTCGTCCAAACTGTCGCACGCGCAATCGTCGCAACTCCCGCACGTCGCAATCATGTCTCCGCGTCGCTCTCCACGAGTATGGACACCGTTCTGCGTGCCAGCCGCTATCTCCTTCCTCGTGCTCCTGCAAGTCGCCTGCCCTCCCGCCGCCCTAGTCCAAGGTACCGTCTCGAGCAGCAGCAGAGGTTGAGGAGCCGTGTATGAGTGATGTTTAATGCGCGTTTTGGGGGGGGGGGGAGGAAAGGGGGGAGGGTGGAGAGAAGGTGGGGGGTTGGGGGGGTGGGAAGGAGAACGGGGCGGGAGGATGTGTGGGGAGAAGGGTGGGGGGTCAAAGGAGTGGAAGTAGGTCGAGGCGTGCATAGTGGCGTTTATGTGTGTCTCAGATTATGAACCTTAATTAACAAGCGACAGGAAGTGATGATGATTCTGAACCGTAAGAACGGGAATGGATGACGACGGAACAGCCAGATGACGGCGGCAGTAGCGGCGGAAAGGCAGGGCTTGCGGCTTGCCGTAGTCGGGTTGCCGAGGTAGATGGGCAACTGGAACACCGATGAGGAGAGTAGACGGGTGCGGAGTAATGACGTGACGGGTGCTGACCAGAGTGTCTCACGTAACGTGCAGGCGCTCCTGAGGGCGGCGCCGGAACAGGGGTGTGTCGGAAAATGTGGCGAGGGAAGAGGGGTTGGGAAAGCCAGGGGTGGGAGAGAGCGCGTGTTTTGCGGGTTGGGCTAGGTTTGCGCGAGGGTCAGGAAACTTGTCGTGTCGTTGCAACGTGCCTGTGGTTGTGGCGACGACGCCAGAGTCTCACGTGAGGAGTGAGCGACTCGTTTCTCCAGTTACCTATCTTGCTCTCCTCGTTCCTTCACTAGTTTCCTCGTTCTCTCTTCCCCAGCTTTTCTTACTTAGCGTTCATTGCTTCACCCATTCCTTGCCCCTTTTTCCCAACTTCCCCCGCCGATTGCAGGAGCGTCTACTGACACGGAAGTGTACATCGTAACACTCCGTTCCGCGCCCCCCATTATCGCGTACAACGGCGGAATAATGGGCTTCGCGCCCACCGCACCCGAAGCCGTCGCCGCCGCCGCTGCCGCGGAGAGCAGCATGGAGGACAACGGTGACGACGACGGGGCGGGAAGTTCTTCCGAGAGTGCGGCTTCCGCCACCGGCGGCGGCAGCGCGACCGCTAGACCAGCCGGCGCACGTCCAGCCAGCAACGGTGGTGGATGGCTGGGAGGCGTGAAGGACCGGCTAGGCGACAAGGCCCGGGATCAGATCGGCTGGTTTCAAGGGCAGGCGAAGAAGATGCGAAATCGGTATCGGCCGCGGCTGAACGTGCGATCGCGCGCTGTGCGACAATTCGCGGAGCTACTGCGACTGCAGCAGCTGTCGGTTGCGACGTCTGCGAAGATCCCTCACTCGAATCTTCTCTACAGGTTAGTGCCTATTTTCAAGGCTCCTCAGAACAGTGTCTTCTATGCCCGTTTGCGTTGCGTTGCGCTGCGCTGGTGTTACCATCAACTCCCAGCGATGCGTTATTAACCCTAGCCAACCCGTCGGACCTACGAAGCATGTCTCTTTCTCCCTCGCTCCTGCTCTCCCTCTCTCCCTCCGCGTTCGTCCACCCACAATCGCAGCTTCAAGTACGCTTCGCACGGTTTCGCCGCGCGGTTGACGCCGCAACAGGTTTCGCAACTTCGCCAGAACCCAGCAGTCGAGTCGATTCGGCAGGACGTGCTGTTTCGGCCGCTGACCAACTACTCGCCCAACTTTTTGCAACTGCCCGGAACAATGTGGGCTTCCGCGGGCGGGCCGAAAAACGCTGGGGAGAATGTGATTATCGGCGTGATCGACACGGGGATATGGCCTGAGCACCCTTCATTCTCCGCCGCAAATGTACGCGTATACAGTGTACAGTGTCATGTTCCGTAGCTTTTCCGCCCTCCCTCTGTCGCTATATCTCGTGATTGTTATCTTTATTTACCACCCTCGTCAATCGACTCGTTTCATTTCTCAGCCAACTGAACTTCCCTTTCTGTATCCCCACCCAACCTTCCCCAACCCCCATTCTCCCCTCTTCTCCCCTCCCCTCTCCCCCCTCCCCGCTCCCCCCTCCCCCCTCCCGTCACCCACCCCTCCCTCCCTTTTCCCTCCTCCCCCCCCGGCTTCCCTCCCCTCTCCCCCACTCTTCCGCCTTTCCCCTTTTCCCACCCCGTATTTTCCCAGACGAGCCGCTCGTTTCCCGCGCCTCCCGCGCGATGGGCGGGGAGTTGCACGTCGACGTCCGACTTCTCCGCGCGGCTGTGCACGAACAAGCTGATCGGCGCGCAGGTGTTCAACGCGGGGTTCCGCCAGCGCTTCAAGGCGGAGAGCACCACCGTGGACTACTCGTCCGCGCGCGACAGCAACGGCCACGGCACGTGGTGTGCGGGGTACGCGCACGGGCGGGGGTGGGGGGGGGGTGGCAGATAGGGAGCGGGGAGGGGGAAAAGAATGGGAGGGAGGAAACAGGCGGTGGTGTGGATGGGAGACGGGGTAAGAGAATTGGGAGTTGTTGAGGAATGGGTGCAATTGGGACAAGGAGGAACATGGGCATGGGCATGGGCATGGGCATGGGCATGGGCATGGGCATGGGCATGGGCATGGGCATGGGCATGGGCATGGGCATGGGCATGGGCATGGGCATGGGCATGGGCATGGGCATGGGCATGGGCATGGGCATGGGCATGGGCATGGGCATGGGCATGGGCATGGGCATGGGCATGGGCATGGGCATGGGCATGGGCATGGGCATGGGCATGGGCATGGGCATGGGCATGGGCATGGGCATGGGCATGGGCATGGGCATGGGCATGGGCATGGGCATGGGCATGGGCATGGGCATGGGCATGGGCATGGGCATGGGCATGGGCAGAGAAGTGCAACCTCATATCCGTTTGGCCCAGTCAGCTTCCCCAACGTGCCTGCCGTTCTCTCACTGCCATCTCCTTTGGCTGCACCTCGTGCCCTAACCTGCCTTCCCTCCCATTCCCTCCTTCCCTTTCCCTTCCCTCCCCAATCCTCCCCTCCCTTCCCTTCCCCCTCCCTCCCCCCTCCCTCCCCACTCCATCCCCTCTCCCTCCCCTTCCCCCTCCTTCCCGCCTCCCTCCCCTCTCCCCTCACCCCCGCCTCCCATCATCAGAGCGGCAGCAGGCAACATAGTGGAAGCAGGCAAGCTCGGCACCGTCAGCGGCATGGCGCCGCGCGCGCGTCTCGCAATCTACAAGGTCGTGTGGACCAACATGAACTCGGGCGGTTACCTCGCAACCATGGTTGACATCAACGCAGCGGTCGACAAAGCAGTTGCTGACGGGGTGGACGTTATTTCCATCTCGCTCGGAGGAGCCGATCCCAACGCGACGTATTTCGACCATGTGAACTATCTCAACGTGAACAAGGCCGGCGTGTTTGTGGCGTTTGCGGCGGGGAACAGCGGAAGCCCGCCGTCACGGGTTGTGTACCGCACGATTGACAACTTCTCGCCGTTCTACATGACTGTTGGCGCCAGGTAACCTTCTTGCTGCTCTTAAGCTTGTCGGCCTTGTCGGCCCTCTTGCAATTTGGTGACTTTTGAGTCGACTCAAAAGCCACGATTGACAACTTCTCGCCGTTCTACATGACTGTTGGCGCCAGGTAACCTTCTTGCTGCTCTTAAGCTTGTCGGCCTCGTCGGACCTCTTGCAAATTCTTTCCCCTCTCGCCTTCGCGCCTCTTGTCAACCTTCTCTCCTGTCACTCTCCTGATGTGAATGCCTCAAATGCATTGTCTGCAGTGAGTGGTTTTCGTTTGTTTCTTCGACCTTAAACCCGCACAGGCCTCTTCCTGAAACTTAAGTAATCCCCTAGTGCTCTCTTCTTCCCTATCCCCCTCCCCCCCCCCTCCTTCCCCCCCCCCCCCCCCCCCCCCCCCCCCTCTCTCTCTCTCTCTCTCTCTCTCTCTCTCTCTCTCTCTCTCTCTCTCTCTCTCTCTCTCTCTCTCTCCTCCCCACCACAGTTCAATCGCTCGCAGGGGCACATATGAAAGTAGTGGGGAGTCCAACCTCCTGCGTAAACTGCTCCCAGGAATGAACAGCCCCTTCGACATTGCTCCATCCTCGTCATCCTCCTCATCCTCATCTGCTGCTGCAGATGCTGCCGCTGCTGCTTCGGGTGCTTCCACTGCTCCTGCTGGCAGCAATAGCGTGCTTGGTGGAGAAGCAGGAGCGGTGGAGACTGGCGCGGATGGAGATTCAAATTCCTCGAGTACCGATGCCGCGACGTCGTCTCTGCAGGTCATGTTTGTTGAGGCGCAGAAGGCTGCACGGACTCTCAAACAGCGTGCAAACGTAAGCATGCTGGCTGGCAGCACAAATGTTCCTCTTTTTTTTTTTTCCTAACTGGCAAATTGCGAAACACTGTAGTGCAACCGATTCTAAGCGCACATTCGACGCGTTTTCCACGTGCCCGTACAGCCAGTCCTAACTCCTCCTGTGCCAAGGACCACTGCACCATCTCTGGCCCTCTGTTTTTCCAACCCACCCACCTCGCCTTGCCCCTCCCTCCTCCCTTCACTCACCCTTTCCCCATTCCCTCCCTCTCACTTCACCTTTCCCGCCCTCTCCAGGCGCGAATCTGTGCGCCTCTTTCCCTGAACCCCTCCAAGATCTCCGGCAAGGTCGTTCTGTGCAACCGGGGGGGGTCATCAATCACAGCCAAGGCGTGGGAGGTGGCAGGGAAGGGCGGGTACGCTATGATCGTGCTTGATCCGCTAGGTCTGCCCAAGGATCTCGGGTCTTTCAAGATCGGCAGTCTGCCTGTTCGTCGCATTGGCATGAGGGAAACGGTTCAGCTCCGGTCGTTTATGTCGGGCTCTAAGAAGTAAGTTTGCCGTTAGTACTGCTGCTAGTACCATGTGTCGGCTGATTTTTGCTGGTATATTTTGTTCTTTTTGGTTTCCCTAGTAATTTCTTGCTGCCATGTTCTGATGTGCCTGCTGTGCTATTTTCCCACTTCTTCCTCTAACACCCATGCCTGCTTCTCCCTAACCCAACCCACCCATCTCATTCTGCATTCTAGAGCAAAACCCAAGGGGATTTTATCCTGGCTGCGGAGCTTCGTGGCAGCAAGTCGAGCCCCTGTAATCGCTTCTTTCTCCTCAACTGGGCCGCTCAACAACCCTTCCGGCACCCCAGAAGCGGCCCCGCGCCCCAGCAACGACATTATTAAGCCAGACATCGTCGCTCCTGGCGTGGACCTATGGTCTGCTGCCAACAGCAATCTCGGGAACCGGTGGGACGCACAGTACGCGCAGCTTTCGGGGACGTCCATGGCTACGCCGCACATCGCGGGGATTGCCGCGTTGCTTGTGCAGCGGTACCCTAATTGGACCCCCGCGCAGCTGATGTCCGCAATGATGACAACTGCAACGACGAAAGATAACAAGGGGCAGGCGATACAAACCACCGAGCACCAATCAGCAACGCCCTGGGACATGGGGGCAGGTCACATCAACCCGCGAAAACTTCTCGACCCTGGCCTCACCTACAGCATCGCGTTCAAGGACTACCAGGATTTTCTTGCTGGGCAGGATTTGAATCGGGCGAAGTCATTCTGGCCTGCTGAGACATTCGCTCCATATCCTGCGAGAAATCTCAACCGTCCGACTATTTCCGTCGCGTGGCTTTCTGGAAGTGCAGTCGTGACACGAAGGGTTACAAATGTCTTCGACCAGGAGTCTACGTACGTGGCGAAGGTGGTTTCGCCGAGGGGCGTGGACGTCGCTGTCGAACCTCAGAATTTCACGATTTCGCCAGGGACGAGTGTAACATACAGGATTACTTTCACTGTGTTGCGAACATCGCCAACATTTTCCTACGGTAGTTTGACGTGGGAAGACGAGCATGACCACTCTGTGAGGTCCATTCTCGCAGTGCAACCAATCTCGCAGGGGGATTGACATGGATTGCTTGTTGGTCCTCATTTGTACACTAACATTCACATTCACTCTATTGTTACACTATCTCAACTCAACGATCAAACGAATATTAGTAGACTTTTGGCACAAGTTTTCTTTGTTCAGATTACTGTACGCATGTTGACCTAGGATGACAGGTATGATATTAAAACCTATGTTAGCAACGGGTTAGAATCATTCAAGCCACATCACTAAACATTAGCAATGGCTAATCAGTAGTCTCAAGCCTTTGCTGATCACCACCGTCAGCACCACCATATTCACCACATTCAGAATCTAGATCACCTTGGGGGTTTCTTGTTTCTAAACTTGGAGGGCATGCCACCTCGGAACCTCCCTGCTGTTTGTGATCCTGTGTCCTTCAAAAAAGTCCTGTATGAGGCCTCCAGCCCCTCTCTGTACCGTCTGCGAATTTCCTCATAGTCTTGAGCAACCTCTTCCGGAGATGGCTCGGGGGCTTGATCCTAGTGCGACAATAAGGAATAGGCCGGGCGGGAAAAGAAAACAGTCAGAGTGAGAGAAAAAGGAGTGACAAAAGGCCGATACGTAAGAGGAAGCACAGGTGTGACGGGAAGAAGTGAGAGGGGGCCAGTCTATTGCAGTAGATCTCAGCGATTGTTGCTGCTCAATGACGCATTGCCAGAGATGCAAACTTACTATGTCTAATTGAGCCGTTGCTGTTGCTGCATCCAATTGTTGCAAATCCGCTCCCTGGCAATTCAGAATTGAACCGGCAGATGGCAAAGCATACAAGATTATAGCCCAGCTGAAGCATTTTGTTCAGAGACAAAAGGCACAAAATTGCCACATAAAAGCATGCCTTGTAGCGTGCAACAATGAAGTACAAAAATACAATACTTACCGCTGACACACCATCTGCCATCATCTCTTCCCGCGACCACTCCTGTGACCTACTCAACCGATCAAGGACCAACGACATGGACGTCCGCGTTTTAAGAGCCACATTTGGCCGCTCTGGTTCCGGTTCCTGCACCCATTGAAGGTCCCTGGCCTCCTTGAATGTTCTCATAAGCTCTCTGACCGCTACTATTAGGAAGGATATCAAAGCCGCACTGTAGCAAAAGAGAAGAACCTGAGGTGGATAACAAAAATGGACGGCACAAACGCACATGCAAGAAAAGCGAAGGAGCAGGTGAATGTATTGCGAACTAGGAATCCGATGAGAATGTGATGACAAGAGAGTGAATGCCACAAGGAGAGATAGACTGAGGCAGAGAAAACGCGGGGTAAACTGTCCACAGAGCCACATCCCAAATAATGCTGTCTCCCTGTCTCACTCACACACCTTCAACGAGTCCGTCAAGTGAAACGAATTCGACGTCTTCTGCACGCGCGAAGCCAAGCCCCTAAGCACCGTTGACGCCTCCTCAGTCGCCACTTGAGTCTGCCCACTACTACCCCGACCAACGCCGCTCGCCTCATTTGGGTCTGTGCCAGATCTAAGAGAAGAGGACGAGGCGGATGAGTGGCTGGGATCTCCTTGGATTGTCCGAGGAGAGGCGGGAGCGAGGAGAGGGATGATGACTACGGACTCCGAGTACACTTCTCGGACGTCCGAAATTCCGTTGTACGCCATTAAATCGGGGACGGGAATACCGTACATCCTAGCGATGCTCCACAACGTCTCACCCCTGAAGAATAAATAATTGAGAACAAGAAAAGCGTTGCTAATTCTAAAATGAGGCGACCGGAGGAGAGCGGACAGCAGCAGGATCGGAACACGATAACGAGCATACAGAAGCGAACACCCGCCAAAACGCAAACCCTGGAAAAAAATTTGCTGCACTGATGCGAGCGGAGCATACCTCGCGGCTGCACATGATGGGCTTATTGACTTACGGATGTTAGGAACCATAAGCTACGTCACAAGAAGAAGGAAATTCAGAACATACAAGCCGCAAGCGAAAGCTGCAGCAACAAGCTAACACCGTGGGAAGGAAGGAGGAGCGTACGATTCGACTTTATGGAACACAGTTCTTCCTCCTGCTGAAGAGGCCGCTTCACTCGCCCGTCCTTTTGCGGCCTTCGGACCCCGGTGCCTCGCCTGTGACAGGGTGAATGCGTGCACGCACACACGCACGCAAACAGGGAGTACAAAAGTTTCAGTCAACTGGGAAGTATGACAATCAGGTCTCACAAATCTCGAGCTTTCAAAGCGTTCGCGTGGTATCTCGACTAGACTTATCACATGCAATCGATCTCTTCTTTTTTATACACGATATTGAAAAACAAACGGAGGCGAAGGGGGGTTGAAGAAAGGCCAGAGGGTTTACTCGTCGCGGAGCGTTAACCGGCCAGGTATTGCCTTGTAACGAAAAAGCATGATCCGCCATTTTTGACCGCGATCCTGTTGCAAAATATTCGGGAAACAAACGGGAGTATCGGTGAGAAGAGAAGCACGAGTAATTATAAAATCACTCGCGAATTGCTCAAACTTACTTAACAGATCAAAGACGAGGTTAGAGGCCTTTCTCTGAGTCTAATACTGAAAAAAATCACTGCAAACAAAGTGCTACCGTAATCTACCTGCGTCGAGGAATTCAAAATCCAAGTAATTCTAGTACCTGTGCAAGCAACTGATTGCGTTTTTCTCTGCGGGAACGAGTCTAGATTGTCCCAGTGCGTCCGCACAAAGGAGCTATGGTTGCTGGCAGGGAGGACCGAACGCGCAGACATGACGAGGCGAAAACAAATTCCTCACGCAAAGCGCAGCGCATCTGACGGCGGACAGTCCTACGCAAGACAGAGAGCACAAGGGGCCGAGGGTAAAAGCTATCTGTCAGCCTAAAACGAGTAAAACGAGAGGTCGCCAAAAAAAAAAAAAAAAAAAAACGCCGCGTGACACAGAGATCCACCTGCTGAGTGGCTGTGACTGCACTACAATCTCCTTTGTGTTGTGCTTGGCTGGCAGCAAAATACCTCGTTCCTGCGTTCTCTTCTCCTGCATGAAGCAACAAGGGAGGTGGGTTGTGGTTGGCGCCAAATCCAAAACCTCTCTCCTACACGCGGTGTAGACTTGTTTAGAACCAATATCAAGCAAACATTTAACTTCTAAGCGGTTTGATGGAGGCATTATTGTAGCAAATGTTTGCACAAACGAATGGGTGCATGGCGCGACCACTAAGGGGGAGGAGGAATGAAGCAGAAATTCGGCCCTGCTCAGGGAAGTTTTTGGCGGGAAAGTCGACAACGCGCGGTGTTTGTGCTGAATGTCACTGAAATGGTGCGGGCAATGCAATGCAAACAGTACGAGCAGCACCCCAAGCGACAACTCGTTTCAAGGTCGCCACCGAGCCATGCCAAAAGCTGGCTTCCTTCCTCATCCACTCTTCCCAAACCTCGAGAGGCCACGTCATTTCACGCAATTTCAGAGAACGAGTAGGCTCGTTAGAGCAAGTCTCACTAATACCGGGTCATTCTGAAAATAAGCATCACTTATACAAACATCTCAAATGGATTATAGGTAAAGTAGCAGCAACACACAATTAAGAGCATGAATGAGCCAGAAGAACAATTAGTATGTACCTCAGCAGGATGAAAAATGTTAATGAACGAGGGTGTGTCAAGAGTATGCCATCTGCAAGCTATCTTGCACGCATGCAGGGTCTAGTGGGGTGAGTCCTGATGCACTCGGTATCTCAACACACATCCCTTAAACCCGAACCTCTCCAGGTAGTGCTATCTCTTCCTCGGCTGGCTCTGTCTTCCCTCCCTCCTCCCCGTCATCCGAAGTATGCTCATGCTGCTGCTTCTTGCCTCTCCACCGCAAAAACTTATCCCTTGCCGCAATCCCCAGCACATAAAGTGGCTTCGTCATGCCCACGCCGTGCAGCGCGAGCAGGAGCGCGGGCAGGAAAATAATTCCCGTGCCCCACGAGAGGAGCGTGGCGACGAGGAACATGCGGAAGTAGTAGACGTTGTAGACAGCAGACTTGGCAAATGCAAGAGGAAGGATGCCGAGCACTGTGCAGCAGGCAGCGTTCGTGATGGGGCGGATGTACTGCAGCAGGGCCGAGCGGATCCGGTCCTGGACAAAGGAATGGGCAGGGAAGGGAGAGGGGACGTTTGGGAAGGGGGGAGCCAGGGGGGAGAAGGAAGTTGGCAGGAGGAAGGTGGGAGGGAGACGCATCAGCAGACGGTGTTCGTGAGCAGATGCTGGATGTATTGGAACAGGGGGAGAAACAAGGGGCGAGTGGTGTGTGAGTTGCGCAGGCAGGAGGCTCTGTGTGGTTGTGCGTATGTGGGTGTGTGTGAGTGGGGGATAGTGCATGTGTCAAAGTGAGAGTGCGGGTGTGCAGGTGGTGCGAGTGTGAGTGTGTGTGTGCACACATGTTTGTGCGTGTGTGTGTGCGCGCACGTGCGCACGTTCACGACGTGTGGGAGTGCCATGGTCGATCTCAAAGGCGCGCATGATGTAGTTCACATACTCATCCGCCAGCCCCATGATGGCCACTGCAGCCCATGAAAGCAGCATGCCAGCCCCATGATGGCCACTGCAGCCCATGAAAGCAGCATGCCAGCCCCGTAATGGCCACTGCATTCACTGCTGACACCGCGGCTTTTGAGGCGCCTCAAGAGGTGTGCTTGCGCGCATGTGTGCTTGTGTGTGTGTCTAGACCTGTGGTTTGTGCCCGCCAGCCCTATGATGTGACTGTTGTGTCGATCAAAAGACACCTCTGTGTGTGCGTGAGTATGTCTGACTTACCTGTGGCGTGCCGTGATCGAGCTCAAAGGCGCGCATGATGTAGTTCACATATTCATCTGCCAGCCCCATGATGGCCACTGCATTCACTGCTGACACCGCGTTCAGCTGCACCCCCCACTCTGCCGTCAGGCCCTGGTGGGTAGGAGGGAGGGGGAAGGGAGAGGGAGCGGGGAGCGGGAGGGGGACGAGAGGAAGGGGAGAACAGGATGAGGGGGGGATGGATGACTGGCTAGCCTGTCTGTCATCCTCAACTGCCACCGCAACTGCAACAGCAACCACAGCAGCCCACGCCACACTACACCACACCACACTGCACCACCCAGCACAGGACCGTGTATGCACCGCACCACAGAGCACCGCACTCACAAGCATGGAGATGTGGATCATGAGGACCATGGCGGAGACGATGATGGCGGTCTTAAAGCCCATGAAGATGAAGGTGATGCAGAAGATGCCGATGATGGTGAGCACAAGCATCCAGATGTACTGCTGCACGATGTCCAGGAACTGCTCGTAGAACACGTAGAAGTAGCTCTGCGTGAACGCCGGTACCTGGTGACAGGTGGGAGGACGGGGTGAATGAACAAGCGAGTGAGTGAGTGAGTGAGCGAGTGAGTGAGCTAGTGAGTGAATGAGTGAGTGGGTGAGTGAGTGGTGAGCGAGTGAGTGAGCGAGTGAGTGAGCTAGTGAGTGAATGAGTGAGTGGGTGAGTGAGTGGTGAGCGAGTGAGCGAGGGAGTGCCATGTGGGAGGAGGTGGGAATGGAAGTGAGCGAGGGAGGAAGAAGGAGAGGACGTGGGAGGACTGGTGCACAGCAGGAGAGGAGTTCTACAAGCAGGTGCTGGGGAACTTACCTGTAGATGGGTGGGTGGGTGGGTGGACTAGTGGGTTTTCACGAGCAAGGGAGCACAAAGATGGTGAGCTCGAGTCGAGTATACAGGTACAGTACTGCTGTACAATGCCCAGGAGCCTATTGTGGAGGCACCTAAAAAACCGCACATGTTACCTGAACACGTGAGAGCCTATTTCGGTGGCACCTTTCAGTCAGACTGAAAAGTCACCACTGATAAGTGGTGGGTGCTTCTTCGAGTACCCATGCTACCTGAACACGTGATCGCCTCAATGGCACCCGTGGCGTTGAATTTCCCATGCTTTCAACAAGACTTTCCAGCACTGGCTGTATCAGTAATGGCAACTGCACACCTCAGCTTGCGCAAGAAAACGCCTACCAGCTTGTCCACCACCCACCCACCCACCTGCGGCACGGAGTCAACCCTCCCGCGCACGTCCAGCATGGCGTTGACAAACTCGCCCGTGCCCTTGAGCGGGTTGTAGAATGCGCGCATGCGTGCCGCCTTGATAGCTTCAATCGCGCCCGTGCTGTTGTTGCGCTCAAACGCAAAGTCGTAGATGTAGGCAAAGCCCTCCATGCTGTCGTTGAGGAAGTTGTCGAGCGCCGCATGGAAGAGCTCCCTTGAGGGCAGCTGGCCGTTGGAGTCCAGCTGCGTCACCCACTTGCTGTACGGCAGAAACCTGAAGGCGGATTGAGAAGCAGGGTGGTTGGGGGGGGGCAGGGGAAGACGGGAGGGAGGGGATGGGGCGTCACCCACTTGCTGTACGGCAGGAACCTGATGGCAGAAGGGTGGAGGGGGGGAGGGGAAGATGCGGGGGAGGGGGGGAGGCAGGGAGCGGCAAGTCAGTGGGTGGTGGGGGGGCTGTTGGGACAGGAAGTTGTACGGCAGGAACCTGGGGCGGATGAAACGGGGGATAGGGGGAAGAGAGAAAGGGCGGCAGAGGTAGGACTTGGCAGTGAGGTCGGTCTACCAGCCAGGAGAACACGGGTGGGCTATGAGGAGTCTCAAACCACTCACTCACACACACACACACACACACACACACACACACACACACACACACACACACACACACACACACACACACACACACATACAGATCCACCCCGTTCCCCCCTCCCCCCATCCGCCATCTCCTCCCATCCGCCATCGCCCAGCGGGAGCACTCAACTCTTTATGAAACATGTGTGTGTCGCGGTACCGGAAAGAGTTGAGTGCTCATAACACATGTTCAGCTCCCCGCCTCCCATCCTTTGCCCCACCCACCCACCCCACACTTCCCCCCGTCCCCCCTCGGCCAGCGGAAGAAGACACTCACTTCTCTGTGAAGTCGCGGTACCAGGAGAACACGGGCGGCTCTATCCACGTGGAGTTCTGCACCAGCCCTGTCAGCCGCTTCATGTATGGCTGTTGGGGCGAGGGGCGAGGGGGAGGGGGGCAGCGCAGGGTGGGAGGGGAAAAGGAGGTGGAGGGTACGAGCTCAATCCACGTGGAATTCTGCACCAGCCCTGTAGGCCGCTCCATGTACTGCTGTACGGGGCAGGGGGAGGGGGAGGGGGAGGAGGTGTGGGAATGGGGAGATGGGAAGACAGGTGAGATGTGCAACAGCCCTGTCAGGCGGCCCATGCACGGCTGTGCAGGGGAGAAGGGAGGAGATGGCGAGGGGGAAGTGGAGGGGGAGACGGAGGGGAAGGGGGAAGGGGACGGTGAGGGTTGGGGCGCGGGAGAGGGCAAGGGTGTAGGGAGCGAAGAAGAGACACACACAGGAGATGCCA